CACCCGCATGCTTGGGTCAGGCCCCCAGCTTCTGTGTGTCCTTCAAGCTGTCTCTGACCTCCCAGGCGGGGCAGGTCCCTGTCCTGGGTCCCCACAGTTCTAGGCCCCTCCCAACCCGAGCACCCTAAGCTGTCACTCTGGAGACAGTTCTGCACCTCCCTGCCAATCCCCCTTCAGCGGAGAGATTGCAAAGCGGGAAGGCAAGACCACCCCCCCTCAGGATCCCCCCATCCCTGTGTCCTTGACACAAGACCCCCCAGGCCCCTGAACCCTGGGACCCAGGCCCTGGTACTGTGGCCTCACTCCTGGATTTTTGGAGCAGATCCTTCCTGTGGGCCCCCTGCACATGCAGCCCCCCTCCCCGGGGGCTGCTTCTCCCACGTGGCAGTGTGGCTCTCACAGTGTGGCCCTCACATGGCAAGGGCCCTTGCTCTGCTCACCACCAGGAAATTCTCATGGCTTCAGATCTCAGAATGGGCTTTTCCTTTCTTTTTTTAGATGATGTTTACATAATCTATCAGGGCGGGGAGGATCTTATTTGGGAGGAGTGGGTGTGAGCATTGCTTCCAAGCTTTCTGTTTCTTCTTCCTATTTCTGGGGGGAGGGGAGAGATAAGGGGATAGGCCATCCCAGCCTCCCAACCATCCCAGTACCCAGGGATGGGGAAAAGCCATCCGATATCATGCCTGAGTCACAATGGCGCATGCTCCAAAGGATCGAGGAATGGGCATTTTTGAAGTGAAGTCTGTGTCGTGGGGTTTGCACCTGTGGCCTTCTGGTGGTCTCACGGGGGCGGGGTTCCTGCTTTCCTGTTCTTATCCCACCCTGTGACCGGCACCCTCTGCCTGGCAGCGGCCCCAGAGCAGGTGCAGGGAGATTCGGGTCAGGCCAGGGGCTGTGGCTTGTGTGAGGGTTGGCGCTGGCCCCATGAGCACCCCAAGCACACCAGGCTTGGGGAGGGGACAGCTGTTGCTGTTTTAGCATTGGTAACGCCCCCCTTTCCTGCGTCCCCACGTTTTCATTCTGTCCCTGACCCCCCAATGTGACCCAGCTGACACATCTTCTCAGATGGGTATCCTGGGGGTGAATCTGCCTGTCCCTCCAGGGGACAGGAAACCCACAGACGCCGAAGGCCGCGACCCCAGTCCTGTGTGAGGCCCCAGGATGACCTCCCGGCCTGTGGCCTGCCCCTTCTAGCTATCTGCTTGAGGAAGCAGATTCTGGAAGCTTCTCCGTGAAGGCTGAGGAAGTGGAAGTGGGAAGAGCAGCCTATCCGATAGCAGATGGACAGGGGGAGCCACAGTCCAAGGGCCCCTGTGTCCCCTCCCCCATCCTGCTTCCCCCCCACTGCTCCATGGCGGGGCTGGGCCGGGGGTGATCAATGGGCCAGGCAGGCCTGAGCAGGAGGAGGCTCCCCGCCCTGGTCCCACTCCCTCTTAGGACGCTGGTTCTGCCGGCTGTGCCAGTTGGGGCCCCTCCCTGAAACTCTCCCACGCTCAGGGATGCTGGCGCGGCCTGCGGGGCCTGTTGGCTGATCACGTAGCCCTGCCTGTGCCTGCGCTGCCCTTGACCAAGCTGCTCCCACCCCATGACAGACAGCCCCCTCCAGAGGGAGCGGGTGTGGCTTGAGGCCCCCAACTCCTCCCAGACCTCAGAGAGGGCGTGACTTGAGGTCCCCCAGCGAGAGAAGTCTGTAGCAGAAGAAATGGTTCTGTCACTCCAACTCCAGACCTGGGGGCTGCCCGTTAGCTCCTGCACCGCCCTGCACCCCTTCCTCTGTTGGGACAGGGTGGGGACTCTCAGGGGCCTGGGCTGGGTGACCTCAGCCAAAGTCATTCACTTTCCCTCGGAGTGCTGAGCCATACGGATGGGGGTGGGACTGAGTGACTGAGGTGCTCGTCATGGCCGGGCTGGGGGCGGGTTGCAGGTTGCTCTGTGTCTCCTGCCCAGCCAAGCAGGTGCGCAGGGCCTGAGTCCTGACCCTATTGCTTTGCCTGCTGTGTGAGCTTGAACGCGTTGTTTCCTCTTCTGTGGACTCAGTTAGCTCCTCTGAGAAACGGGGTGCCCTCCACTGGGGACTGAGGAGAGGATTTTGTGACAGGCCACGTACCCATGGGGTGTATGGCTGGAGTTCAGCACGTGGGTGCTGGTAGCATCCGAGTGGTAGTGGGCATCGGAGAGCATGCTTCATCCTGTAGCATTTCGCCCATCATTTCTGCTGAGCAGAACTGCAGCCATCAGTGTCACAGCCACCGGCCCCAGGTCGCCTGGCTCTCAGGACTCAAACCCAAGTGCATCGGATCCCTGAGTGGACAGTCCTGGGCTACAGCACCCTCTCGGACTCCACAAGCAGCCACAGGAGGATTCTGACCCAGATGGACCAGCTTCCAAGCCTTTCCCATCTCAGCCTCAGTTTTCTCAACTGTGAAGTGGGGACTCAATGTGCCCTTTGCAGAGAGGGTTCCCAGCCCAGAGTGGGGGTTCCAGAAATAACCACAGCCATGCAGAGAAAAACCACGCCTATCCATCACTATCAGAACCCCATGCTCAGCCTTCATCATCATCATCATTATTAAAGATTTATTTTTATTGGAAAGGCAGATTTACAGAGAGAAGGAGAGACAGGGAGAAGGCCTTCCATTTGCTGGTTCACTCCCCAAGTGGCTGCAATGGCTGCAGCTGAGCTGATCCAAAGTCAAGAGTCAGGAGCTTCTTCTGGGTCTCCCACATGGGTACAGGGTCCCAAGGCCTTGAGCCATCTTCTGTTGCTTTCCCAGGCCACAAGCAGGGAGCTGGATGGGAAGTGGAGCAGCCAGGACATGAACCAGTGCCCACATGGGATGCTAGTGCTACAGGCAGAGGATTAGCATGCTACAGCATCATGCTGGCCCCACCACCATTATTATTTCTTAAGTGGTCATTGTTGTTGCTGTCATGGTGTGGCTTCCTGGTAGGAACTGTGGGCGTCTAGCCGGGAACACCTCCCTGTGCCTGTATGCCCATTTGACCCATCAGCAATCCCCACTGTCCTTCCTCCTAAAACAGTTCGGGTCTTTTTTGCTCCTGCAGTTTGAGTCAGGTGTTTCTGCCACCGTGCACCTGTGCGGGAACCAGAGGTGCCTCTCCCACCATGGGGATCTCCGGCTGCCTCTCCCACCATGGGGCTCTCCGGCTGCCTCTCCCACCATGGGGCTCTCCGGGCTGCCTCAGGAGCAGGGATTGTGAGAAGACTTCTGTTAGGCTCTGAGCTTGAGTGCCTTTTAATTTGGGGGTTGGTTCCAGGATCGGGGTGGGGAATGGGCTGCATGCGGGATGGGACGCTGTCTCGCAGTCGGGTACTCTGCTGCATCTCATTCAGAAGGCGGAAGAAGCCAAATGAGGTTACAGCTGAACCTCACAGCAGAGTCACAGCCAGCCACTCACCTTTGCCGAGAAATTCTGAGTCACCTCGTGGTGTCTACAGGGCACTGGGCTGATTCTCGGCATAGTTGGCCTTGATTTTGTCTTGGAGCCTCGCGGTCATCATGTTGCCTGGGGTAATGTTGGTGGCCTGTGAGGTGACTTAGGTGCAAGAGAAAACGGCATGGACAGGGGTCCAGCATAGCAGCGTAGCCAGTCAGGTCAGCACCTGTGTTGCCCATATCCCATGTCGTCCCCGCTGTTCTACCTCCGATCCAGCTCCATGCTGGTGCGCTGGGGAAGCAGCAAATGTCAGCTCCCATGCTAAGGCCTTTGCCCACTCTTGTGGGAGAGCCAGCTGGAGCTCCTGGCTTTGGCCCAGCCCCAGCCATTTCAGCCACCTGAGCGATGAACCAACAGATGGAAGACGTGTCTCCCCTCCCTCTGTGTAACCGCCTGTCCACTAAAGAACAGAAATCTTCAAAAAAGATTTTTTTTAATTGAGGATAATGCACATTATTGGAGACAATGTATCACATTTATGCGTGTCCAGTGATTACCTTTTTTTAGATTTACTTATCTGAAAGGCAGTTAGAGAGGAAGCCAGAGGGAGAGAACTTCCACCCACCAGTTCATTCCCCAAATGGCCACAATACCCAGTAGCCGAGAACTTGTAGTGCGGGTGCAGGGACCCAAGCACTCGGGCCATCCCCTGCTGCGTTCCCAGGTGCGTTAGCAGGGAGTTGTTTTGGAAGTGGAGTAGCAGGGACGCGAACCAGCATTCATACAGGATGCGGGTTTGCAGGTGGCAGCTTAGTCTCGCTGCACGACCATGCCAGGCCCCTTGCGTGTCTGTACACCTGTGCGGGATGAAGTTTGCAGGGAGAAGGGTCCTTCCCTCTTCTGTTCTTTGATCCCACCAGCCAATGCAAGACTGTCTTGGCTTGGTGGCCTTCTTGGCAGGGAACAAGCCCTAGGCCACAAAGGCTGGCGCAGGAAGGCCAAGTGGCATTCTGTCGGCCACCAACCGCTGCCCTCCCACCCTCCTCCTGATGAGCGCTGGCAGGGCTTCCCAGACTGCCCAGTGCTGAGAGCTGCCTGCTCAGCCCAGCCCTGCACCTGACCTCTCCAAACCACACAGCCCTGCCTCTGTTCCCACCCGGCTCCTCTCAGAACCGCCAGAACTGCCTCCCACCTCTCTCTCCTCTTGCCCAGGCTTGTAATGTTTCCCCCCATCTTTCACCTGGCCTCATGGCAGTAACCAGACGCCCACTGCCAGCCTGCAACCTTCCTTGGAGCTCCCTAACGCTCTTCCTCCCCTGTCCCGGGAACAACTGGAAATAAGATTTAATTAACCTCTGCGCCACCCCTTGCGCCCGTGGCCTGCCAGCGCTGCTCACCGCATCCTCCAGCCCCCCAGACTTGACCATTTCTTCCCCGCAGCGGGCGCCCACGGCCTGGGATTCCCTTTCCCTCCTTGGCAGGTGCCCAGGACAGGGGCCATTCTCCCAATGGGTGGCGCACCTGGGGCGGGCCCGCCCCGCCGCGGACGCTGAGTCGGCCCGGTTGGGCAAGGCGAGGGTTGCCCCGGGGTAGGTTACTCATCCCGGCTCAGGTAAGAGGGCTCGGGATTGGGAGGTGGCACATCCAGGGGGGACGCTGAGGGAGCAGGACGGAGCCATGGACGCCGCCAGGAAAGCAGGTGCCCGGGCAGCCGTGTGGACGGCAGGCTGCTTGCTGCTGCTCCTCCGAGGTGCGCTGCGGCCAGAGGCGACCCCCTTCCCCGAGTCCTTCAGCGAGGGGAGGCGCAGGGAAGCGTAACCTTACAATGGGGACATGGGGGGCAGTTCTCCCATCCCAGACTCCTCTTCTGAGACGAGGGTCTCCGCGGGAAGCGCGGGGCTGTGGGGGAGGAGGCTCTCACTCAGGCACCGGTGCGGGAAGCTAAAGTGTGCCGCGCGCGCGCGCATCCACGGGAGGGGTTTCTCTTTAGGGTCACCCGGAGGCGGCCGTGCAAGGGGGTGGCCGCATGGGGGGTCGCGGGGAGCTGCGCCCCCCGAGGCAGGCGCGACTTCGAGCACGGCTCTCTGCCTTCTTCCGGCCCCGACCTCGCAGGCGCGCAGGCCCTGGAGTGCTACAGCTGCGTGCAGCGGGCGGACGACGGCTGCGCCCCGCACAGGATGAAGACCGTGACGTGCGCGCCGGGCGTGGACGTCTGCACCGAGGCCGTGGGCGCCGTGGAGACCAGTGAGTGCGACCCCGGCCCCGCTGTCCGCTCCCCGGCCGGTCGGGGTGCCCAGGCAGGGGACGCCGCGGGAGAGGCCGGGTCTGGGGCCAGGGCGCAGCCCACCGTCCCAGCGGGCAGCCTCGACCCTGCCTCCTCCGGGAGACATCCCGCTTCCGTCTCGACCTTCGGGGGTCCCGAGGCCCCGCAGGGCTCAGGGCTGTGTGGGATGGCGAGAAGCTGCTCTTCTCAGTGGAATTCCGTCCCACTACAGTCGGCCAGGATGTCTTCCTTCCCCGAGGTCACGACCCCCAGGAGACCCCAGTGGTTTCTGGGGCTGCGCCCCCTGCGGCCACGCCCCCTTCTTAGCCTGAGCCCTCGATTTGACCTCGCGTCTGTCACTCTGTCCGCTAGGACTCCGTCCCTTTTGTGGTCCCGCCCCTTTGAGACGCTGTCCCCTCGTGGCTCCGCCCCTCGCTGCCTACGGCCCCGCCCCTCGTTGCCCCGTTCCTCTCGGCCGCTCCCCTGCCTGCCTCTCCCCCTCCCCGCCTCGCCCTCCGATCGCTCTTACGTTGACCCTCGCCCCCCTCGCCGGCCTGTCCGAGGTCCCGACCCTCTGACCCCGCCTCCTTCCCGCAGTCCACGGGCAATTCTCGGTGGCGGTGCGGGGCTGCGGTTCGGGACTCCCCGGCAAAAACGACCGCGGCTTGGACCTGCACGGGCTGCTGGCCTTCATCCAGCTGCATCAGTGCGCTCAGGACCGCTGCAACACCAAGCTCAACCTCACCTCGCGGGCGCTCGACCCGGCAGGTGCGCGGGGCGGGGCTGAGCAGGTGGGCGGGGCGAGAGCAGATGGGCGAGGCCACGCTGTGGGCGGGGCTGAGAGCAGATGGGCAGGGTCCCAGTGTGGGCGGGGCTGAGAGCAGACGAGTGGGGCCACACTGTGGGCGGGGCTGAGAGCAGGCGGGCGGGGCCACGCTGTGGGCGGGGCTGAGAGTAAATGGGCAGGGTCCCAGTGTGGGCGGGGCTGAGAGCAGGTGGGCAGGGCGGGCAGGGGCAGTGGGCGGGATTGAGAGTAAACGGGTGGGGCCACACTGTGGGCGGGGCTGAGAACAGACGGGCGGGGCCTCCCTGTGGGCGGGGCTAAAATCAGGCGGGTGGGTCCCGGCGTGGGCGGGTCTGCGAGCAGGTGGGCGGGGTCACAACGTCTGGGGGCGGGCCCGAGCCCCTCCCTGTACCCCTGGATCCCCCAACCCCTCCAGACCACCTTCCTTCCCCGGCCCTCGCAGGCAATGAGAGCGCGTACGAGCCCAACGGCGTCCAGTGCTACAGCTGCGTGGGGCTGAGCCGCGAGGCGTGCCAGGGCTCGGCGCCACCCGTCGTGAGCTGCTACAATGCCAGCAATCGCGTCTTCAAGGGCTGTTTCGATGGCAACGTCACCTTGACGGCAGGTGAGAGCCTGAAGCTGGCCACCTGCACGAGTGGGCATCCTGGACTGTCGGGGACGGGTGCCCACTTCCAAGGATTTCTGGGAGTTGTAGTCCTACGTGCTTGTCTTGTAGCACCTCAAGGGAAATGCATCTCCAGTCCTGTGGCCCAAGCCAGGCCGGGAGTCCATGCATAAGAGGCTTTTGGTGCCCAGGGGTGCCGGCCCGTTCTGTTGCCTCCTGGAAGCATCCTCCTCTTGTCTGACCCCCTCGTGTCTCCCTCCCACAGCTAATGTGACCGTGTCCCTGCCCGTGCGGGGCTGTGTCCAGGACGAATCCTGCACCCGGGATGCAGCCACAGGCCCTGGGTTCATTCTGAGTGGCTCCTGCTGCCAGGGCTCCCGCTGTAACTCTGACCTCCGCAACAAGACCTACTTCTCCCCTCGCATCCCACCTCTTGTCCTGCTGCCCCCTCCCACGACGGCCGCCCCGACCACTGGGGCCAACACCAGCTCCGCCCCTTCCACCCCAGCCTCTACTGCTCGCACCTCTGCCACCAAGCCCACCCCGGCGCCCACCACCAGCCAGACCCCTCGTACGGAAGCAGAGCTTGCCACGTTCAGCAGAGAGGAGAGCAGGTTGGCTGGCGGTGCCGCTGGCCACCAGGACCGCAGTAACATGGAGCAGTACCCTGCCAAAGGGGGGACCCAGTACCCCTCCAACAAAGGCATGGGTGCCCCCACTGCCGGGCTGGTAGCCCTAATGTGGGTTGCGGCTGTTGGAGCTCTATTGTGAGTTGCCCCATCTGGGAAGTTCTCTCTTGCCCTATTTCCCTGGCTTCAGGCATGCGCCTTGGACTGGGCTAGCCCAGGGTCCCTCAGCTTCTGCTGCACTGGTTTGTGGCTTTGGGAAGTCACCATTGTGTGTGTGTGTCCTGCCCCCCTGCTGGGTGTCCCAGCTTTGGGAGGTAGCAAAAAGTGAACCCTTCATTGTGGTCTCTACTGTGTCCCCGGCAGAGACAGAGTGGGAGCCGTCGGCCTTCCCTGGGCTTGGGGAGAGGGGATCGGGAAGTGGGGAGGCTGCCGACTCGCCCTCTTAGAGCCTGGCGGGGGGCTCGTCCCCTCCCTCTCACGTGTTTGCGAACACTGTGTCCTCTGCTTTCCATTGCAGACTGTGAGCCCGTCCCGGGCAGGGTCCCACAGGGTCATTGCTGGCCCAGAAAGGCCTGAATAAACACATCAGGACTTGGTACAATCCTTCCCATGAGTCGCTTGTACTTCCTCTGCTTTTCCAAGCTGAGCTGTGGTGGCGGAACCTGGGCCCTTTACTGACAGAGGAGTGGAGAACCAGAGTTGCAGCCCCCACCGGGGTGTGTGTGTGCGGGGCGCCCCTTCATCTCCCAGGGTTTTAGCCGGGAGAGCCCTGGGCAGACCCATAGGTAGCAGGAAGGTGTGCAGGGGCATGGGGTGCAGGGGCGTCCAGCCCCCACCTGTTGTCCATCCTGTTGGTTGGGAATCACTCCGGGCCTGAGCTGCACGTCTGGCTCCCTTGCTACCAGACAAGGGTCAGGTCTGCCTTGGAAAGTGTAGGCCCTGGATGGCCAGTGTTAACTGCTTATTCCAGAGGAACGGTGTGAGGTCATCCAAGCGACAAAAAAAACAGGGGATAATAGTGACGACAACACAGTGGAGAGTAATAACCGCACACGCCCACCGTGTGGTTCTGCACGGAGGGCACACGGCTCTCTAACGCGCGGTCGGTGGCCGTCCCCTGCCTGTCCTCGGCCGTTGTCTCCTCCAGCTTCTCACCTTGCTACTGGGGAAACAGGTTCCGAAAGTGATGGACGAGCCCCCAGCAGGCCTTGCGTGTGCAAAGTGCAGCGTCTGTCTGTGTGCAGTCCTCGGATTCTACCGTCTTTATAGCCTTCCAGACGGTGGGTGTGTGAATCAGCTGCCTTTTACAAGGTGAGGAAATCAGAGAGGCTGAGAAACTTGACCCAGGTCACCCAGGTCGTGAACAGCGGCACCTGCACTTGAACCCAGACCGACTGGCTGCAGAGCTGCCAGCACACCTCCCACGAGTAAACTTTAGACAGGCTTCTTCCCAGCTCTGGGCCCCCGAACTCCCCCTGACCTGGCCTTGGAAGTCCAGAGCGATCTCTTCCCCCACCCCCGCCCCTGGATGTCTCTCGGAGATGTGTGCAAGTCTCTGTTAGAGTTTCCGGCCTTGTCCATGACTGGGAGCCCTTTCTTTGAAAAGGTGACATCAAAAGGGTGGGGCAATCCTCTGCCACTGCCCCAGGTGCCCCAAGAAGAGAGGAGTCCCACATGGCAGGGGTTCTGCTGCCAGCTGGGAAGCTACTTCCTGTCCTCTAGGAGTCCCTGTTTCGGGGGCCGGAGTCCATCAGCAGACCTACATGGCCGGCCACCGGCCTCTCCCTCCGGCTCGGACACCTGGTGCCCCATGTATGGGAGAGTTGAGGTCGGGCTGAGTTCTGGTCTCTACCCCACGGAGGGGAGGAAGAGGAGAGAGAGGGAGAGAGAGAGCCCATTCATTGGTTCACTCCCCAAATGCCTGCACAGCCCCAAACTGTCCCCTCATTCACCTGGGGAGCAGGAGCCCCGTCACCATTGTCCCCCAGGATGTGCGTTAGCAGGAAGCTGGAGCCAGAGGCAGGGGTCAGGAGCAGGCGCTGTCCTGTGTGATGTGGGCCTGCTGACTGCACCTTCAACTGCCAGGCCGAACTGCCCCCGATGAACTCTTGGGCCCAGCCATACCAACCTGATTACAGCGGCTGAGGCACGCTTTGCTTTGGGAGAGCACGCTTTGCTGTCGGCCAGCCGGCAGCCCGTGCAGGTTCCTGCCAGCACTTGGTCACGTGGACGGCACAGCTCAGGAATTTCTGAGACTTGAGGAGTTGGGAGGCAGGTGCACTCCTCTCATTGCCTCTATCCCAGGTTTCTTGGTTTCAGGGAGATGCTGGGGTCTCCCCTGTCATGACTTGCAGGCGACATTGGGATCTCCTCTCTAGTAACATATGGGTACCTCCCCTTCCCGGTTTTTTTTTTTTTTTAAGATTTACTTATTTTTATTGCAAAGTCAGATATACAGAGAAGAGGAGAGATAGAAAGGAAGATCTTCCTTGGGGTTTATTCCCCAAGTGGCTGCAACGGCCGGAGCTGAGCCAATCCGAAGCCAGGAGCCAGAACTTTCTTCTGGGTCTCCCACGTGGGCACAGGGTCCCACTGCTTTCCCAGGCCATAAACGGGGAGCTGGAAGGTTGGTAGAGCAGCCAGGATATGAACAAGCATCCCTGTGGAATCGCAGCATGTGCAAGGTGAGCACTGAACCATTAGGCTATCGTGCCGGGCCCCCAGTGTGTTTTGAGTACTCCTTCCTGAAGAGGCGTGCTTTGAGGGAGACCATGGCTTGGAGCAGCAGCAGCAGGCGCTGAAAGAGAGACTTACAGAGAGAAGGAGAGACAGAGAGAAAAATCTTCCATCTGCTGTTTCATTCCCCACATGGTTGCAATGTCTGGAACTGAGCCAATCTGGAGCCAGGAGCCAGGAGCCTCTTCTGGATCTTGTGCATAGATGCAGGGTCTCAAGGCTTTGGGCCATCTTCTGTTGCTTTCCCAGGCTGCAAGCAGGGAGCTGGATGGGAAGTGGTCATGAACTGGCGCCTTTGTGGGATTCTGGCGATACAGGTGGAGGATTAGCCAGTTGAGCCATTGCACCAGGCTCCAGGCAAGACATTCAGGGCCCCCCACCCCTGCTCAAGATTGATTTATGCATTTGAAGGTCAGAACAACACATAGGGCGGGGGAGGGAAGGGGGGAGGGCATGTCTATCTGCTGCTTCACTCCCCAAATGGTTCCAACAACCAGGGCTGGGCCAGGCCAAAGCCAGGAGCCCAGGGCTCCATCCGGGTCTCCCACACGGGTTCAGGGGCCCAACCCTGGAGGCAGGACAGAAGCAGAGCAGCTGGGACTTGAACCTGTGGTCCTAATGGCATGCTGGTGACAAGTGGCAGCTGAGCCCCCTTGCAGCACATGGGCCTTGGCAGGCTGGCATCTTCCCAGCTTTGCTGTTGTAGTTCTGGACCATGAGGCGTGCACGCGTGGTGATAGTATCTCAGCTTTGATTCCAGGTTCTCGCCCCCACAGAGAGAAGGGTTCAAAGCTGATGGCTTCATGCCGTGCACACGTGAGAACAGGGTGGATGAGAGAGAGAGCCCACACAGAGATCCTGAACCATGAGGAAAGAGCGGGGAGGAGGCCAGGAGGACCCAGAAGGGAAGAGTCAAAGCTGGCACTCCTTCAGGGCGTGGGAGATGGTGCCCTAACTGAACCTGCACCCTGGGTCGAGTGTGGTATGCGTGCGGGCTGCTGGGAGCCTCACAGAGCGTCCACACAGAGCCATCCTGGCTCCTCCTTCCTGGTCCTGGATGAGACACACACGCGTTATGGGAAAGTGAGCGTGCCGGATTGACAGGTTAGCGAGTGCTACAACGCAGAGCTGTCAATCCTTGGGCTGGAACGACTCAACAGGCCGATCCTCTATCTGCAATGCTGGCATGTCACATGGGCGCTGAGTCTCGTCCTGGCCGCTCCATTTCCAATCCAGCTCACTGTTTATGGCCTGGAGAAGCAGTGAAATTCGGGCAGATTATGCAGCCTGCCTGCGCCCCACTTTCTTCATCTTTCAAACAGTGGTGACCTGGAGAGTAAAGCATAAGCGTATGGCCCAAAGCCTTGGGACCCTGCTGCCACATGGAAAACCTGGAAGAAGCTAATGACTCCTGACTTTGGATTGGCTCAGCTCTGGCCATTGTGACCACTGGAGGGTGAAATCTGCTTTCAAATAAAAATAAGACAGAATTTTACACTTCTCCCAGTTTCATTTATTCTCATCTAACTTCTCACCTTCTTTTCCTGTATCAGCAGTTGCCCAGACATTGGGCCATAGTCTGCTGCTTTGCCAAGTGCATCAGCAAGGGGCTGGATGGGCACAGGGCAGGGTTCCCGTATGGTCTGGTGTTTATCTCGCCACGCTACAACGCCAGCCCTGGTGTGGTCTGCTCTGTATTATGCTCTGAAACGGCCCCAGACTGGAGAAACTGGCCAGTGCATGGATGTGCACAGAGTGGCAGGCCTGCGCCTGGGGGGTGAGCCGAGGCAGGTGCAGGGCGTCTCCCCGGGTTCAGAGTGGTTGCAGTGGGAGCCTGGAGGGGAGATTCAGCTTCTGGGTGGTGTTGCATCCACTCGACCGCTAAAACAGGTTGTCATGTACACCAGCGATAGTCACAACTAAGTTTTATGAGAAATGAGAGGCAAGGCAACCGACGGACTGACTGACCAGCTGACCGGCTAGCTGGGACCAACACCCCTTACCGGAGTGTGGCCCGGAACAGCACATTCACGGGGTTTTTATAGGGGCAGTCCACAATAGCCCACAAGGTGAGGGGGGAAATACCACTCACATTCCCTACCTAGCTCAGCTGGACAGCCCAGGCCTGGCTCTTCTCTGGTCCAGCAATTAAGGTAACCATCCACTTAATTACTTGGAGCCATTAGTGAGATAACCAGAATTGGGCCTTGGAGGCACCTGTGAGATAACCAGACTTGGGTCTTGATTCATGAGAATTGGAGCCCATCAGTGCAAAGATCACATAGGACATTTAGCCTGCAAGCTCACACAGTTTCTTAGTAGCAATGAGCCATGTTTTTACTCCATTCTCTTTTCAATTCTACAGTGGGAGGGGGAGACAGCGTGACGGCCGGGATCGCCAGGCAGGGCTGGAGTGGAGGGGCCATGAACGTGCCCGATGGGGAGCCCCCTGTGCCCCGTGGACATCAGGCAGCTGTGATCCGGCAAGATGAGGCCACGCGTTCCCTGCCCGCTCTCCCACGGGAGGAGCCGTGCCCAAACCCATTCTTGGTGGAGTGATCGCTGGTTCCTCCAACGGGGTCTCGTGCT